TTAAACCAAGTCTCTTATTGTTAATATTTATCACAAAATGTAATAGGTTCCTGTTCAGAAATTCAATGTGTCTTCGTGTCATCAAAATTGAAAATAATAAAATCTGTTACAACTTCTTTAAAAAACAATAACGCTACCTTACAACATTAATGACTTACTATACTGAACCCTAGAACAACACTGTCGCAAATTTCGAACGTTCCTGACATTCACAGATCGAGGGCTACCCATAATAATATCTAAATATTTTAAATATTATTGAAAATTTCCGAAAAATTATTTTCCTATTCTCCTTTACACATCTTTAAACTAGAAAACTACAGAATGTTCTGTTCATTTAAACAAAGGAAATCAAAATTTAAACATTATTTGGAACAGTGTATGTTAAAAGGGTCTTCGGTCAATATGCTTTCTTTATTTGGTGGGCTTAATATTATTTTCGGTTAATTGTAGCTTTTTATAAACTCCGTCTACAAACTAAATGAATGGCATAAAAACTTTTCGAAAAAAATGTTGCATTTTTTTCCATTAAAGTAATCTTCATCTTTATTGAATGAACAATAAACGTTATTCGGAAATTCTTAAAACAAAATGCTACTCAAATTTGAGAACAATATTCTAATTATCGATGGTATTTCACGCGTAATTAAATTTTAATGGAACAATGTGTAATTGCCAGCGAGACTTAACTGTAAAACCACAGGTAACGTTATGCGAATATCGTATTTATCTCCGAGCGTAGCGCCGCAAATGCATAATAATGCAATGCAGCAAAGCAAGCGAAGTAAAATATGATGCATTTAAAATTCGTTACTTATTTGTGGTCTCTGGTCAGTACAGATTCTTAATTACTTTCATTCTTAATTTAAATATCACTGAACTGTTAATATCATTCCCGTGCTGATACGGAGCATAACTTCAATTCGCTGCACCTTCAACGGTTACTCATTTATATAAAAGTTGCAAGAAACTATTAATAAATCAATACGCAAAAACATTATTTTATTCGTTTTGAAATATTAAAATTTCTCAGAAAGATCGACAAAAACTGACTACATTTTGTGTCTAATTATAACGATGGTTCAAAAATATTCTATTCCCGAAGCAATGGAAATTTAATCTGGAGCAAGGAATAAAAAGATAAACGCGTGGAAATAATAGCGGTACAAAAAATGGAGGAGCTTTTACGAAGGAACAATCTGTTCCAAATGAATCCACTATTCTATTTTCGCTGCGTTATTTTAATTTCAAAAAAAAAAAACAAAATTCTTGTCAATCCTTCATAAGTATATGCAATCCACTACAAGGATTATTTATTGTCTCTGCCAGTGCATGTAAGAGAAGTCTTTTTGCCCGTCACTTTCTACTTCTGAATACTTGAATCCTATCTAGTCAGCTGTCCCTAATGACTGTTAAGTACGTCATAGCGTGTGATTAATATTCCAGACCGACCCTCGATGTCGTTCTCGCGAGGAACGACACGAAGCGCAAAAAAACGAGAAAAGGGGTCGTGTTATTTATCCCCGTTATCGCTTTTTGTTTCGCTGCATTTCTCTTCATCTTATTTCACTTCCTTCGTTTTTTTTTCAACGAAAATGATGCTCCCGTAATCACGTTGCAATTGAATAATTCCCACTTACCGTGATGCTCGTCGTAACTACTATCGCGATCAATAATCGAAATCGTTTGTCAACCGAGCTAATCGTAGTCACAGAACAAGTTTATTTTCACACTCTGATTATGCCGCCGATGACGGACGTTATATCTAGAACTATTTTGAATAACAATTTCCGTCCCGGTTCGATCTGACGCGAATACATTTGCCAGCGGGTGAAAAAGTAATAGTGAACACGTGTCATAAATTTTCAGAGGTGCGGAACAAAATGACGGCGCTTCTGGTGTGTAGACGTCATAAACTGGGCCAGTTTTACTTAATTTGCTAACGTAATATCTAATACAGTAGATGCATAAATTTGTATATCTTATGTACTTTAACACTAGAACTGCCGACGATAAACGTATATCTAGTTCTATCGGATCGATAAACATGACAAATTTTTGAAAATATACGAATTTATAAATTAACTAATTTCTTCACTTTCCTATTGCAATAAAGGTTATAAAAGATCTAAGAAGATGCATTTTTATAACACTTTAATCATCATCACAAGAATGTACGAACCAGTCATTTTGACTGCTTCGGTAACTCTAGTGTTAAAGATGAAGGAAATTAATTTAATTATATGTTACCTATTAGTTTACACGTTTAATTACCAAAATTACTCATTTTTATAGTAATGAAATTGGGTAGTGGTAACTTCAGTATTTTGCTGCTATTACTGCTAGGAAGATTTATTTACAGTACCTGATAAATATATTAGATAAGCTATACATAAGGTGTTTCTTTTTGATCACTTTATAAGTTTGTCTCTAGTAAGAAATATTACTCTATTTGCATACATATACGAGGAAAGTAGAGATTGACAAATAAAAAATGTGTATTATAGCCATATAAATATTAGAAATAGATAACTATTACACTACTAAAAAAAAATAATTTCTTTTTCTTGCTTTGACACTGAAATTTGTAAACCTTTAAGTATTATGTTAATTTATATTCATACTTAACTATAGATAATACGAAATTTATAAACAAAGAAACCAGATATATTCTATTACAAGATTAATAAAATTCATTTCTTGATCTACTCTGACTAACGAATAGAACTTTTAACGCACAATTGTACGTTGCGTACTTTACTCTTGCACTAAATGACAAAAAAGAAATTTTTTATTTTTTCAAAATAGAACTTTTTCCACAGAAATTATATTTCTCTCTACTGTTTCTTTGTTAAAAAAGAAATTACTTTTACTATAACGGGGGAGTTACAGTCACCAGAAGAAAAAAGAACCACATCCCGAATCTCCGTATTCCGATGCGTTTAATATTCCATTCATATATAAATAACCACTCGCAAGCCCTAGAAACATCAGCGCACTAAAAGAAACAAAGACGAAGTCCAGTAAGTCTATCCAAACATCGAAAATAAACTGTCCAAACCGTTCATCCGCGTATCAAACCTCCAAAGTTTCAACACTCTACTCGCGTTATCTCACCTCGCGTTTCCACAACGAAAATTCCTGTGCAATCGGTGCACCGGGAAACGTAATATCGCTAAATTGTCGAATAGGAAAAGAGACAGACACACCGTTAACGTTTCAACCCTTAACGTGCTCGTTAAATCACCAAGCTTATTATACGCCGCTACCTTTACTACCTATAGCTACCATCCGAGCGAATGAAAGACAAACAAGACCCCAACGATCAGTATGTTACACACGCTTCCAACTTTATTATATAAAAAAAAAAGGAAGGAAAAAAGAAGGAACGCGACGCACCGACACTTAAGGTTTTCACGAACTGTAGACAATGGAAGAAATCTTGTTGACGCTTCGAACTACCCTCACGTTTCTCTTTCTCTATCGCTGTCGCTCACACGCATGCACACGATCTTTCACTCTTTCTCGCGTCCATTCAGAGATACTTTAAATTACCGCCTTCTTAGCAGCATCGCCGACGTTGCTCGTCGTTAAATCGATCTCCGTGGGTGGGCCCGCCGTGGCGTCGAATACGCGTTTCACACGGATACGCCTTGCGGAATCGTCAACGGCCGAGGCGTCGTGACGAGCACCGTTGACCACCCGATTTAATTACCTTAATTGCGACGTACGTTACAAATGTCTCGGCCGGTACGCGGCGACGCACGAACCGTTTCGGCTCGCTTACCCCGGAGACATTTGCAAAGCGCCAGTAGTATTCGTAAACCGATAAATCGAAACCTTGATGGACAACGTCCGAGGCAGCCCCGTGGTCTCGAGAGGCTGCGGTCGGATCTTAACGCTTAAAACACGGAGAACATCGAACGTCGAAGTTGAATTGTTTGATTTCGGGCCCAAGGAATGTACTGTGACGTCGATCGGCTGTGCGAAAGTCATTTGGATTGCGAAATAAAAGAAATTGACTCATTATAGGTGAGAAAAGAAAACGCAGGCGTAATGTAGATATTATCAGAAATGGTTTCGAATTTGTAGGGACGAATTAGCGAGTCATTGTGTATGTACTTTTTTAATTAGTAATATAATCATAAAGGGTCATTGTATGTGAAAAATATATTGGAAATGTAAAACAATTGTTCTTCGAGTAATCTCTAATATTCTACTTTTAATGAAAATGAATTGTCAATTCCCGATGTCAGATTGGTTATACATATACTAAAATTTCAATATGTTTTGGACAAGTATAGGGAAATTATTTGTAAAAAATTATTTGTCCAATATATTATAGTTTAACATATTACAGCTTTAAGAGAATATCATCATAATCTCGGTATCAAGACTACTGATGGCAATCCTGTAACAATCTCTACAACGTCAAATCTTGTAAATCTCTTAGAATTAAAAAAACACTTTAATTTTTAAGACAGGAGCAATGTAAGTTTTAAAATTTGTTAACTCCATTGCTCTTGTCCCGAGTAGAAAAATAATGTTCTATAAAGAAATCATTGTAAAATACTTCGAGATCTCCGTGTTTTCAGGATTAAGAATTGAATCACGCTTAAAACATCATGCCCACTATTATCTACATTGATTAAAACAAAGTACGTAATCGAGTACGTCATCCAACAAATTAGAGTACAAACTATTACACGTTAACACTACGATCTACATGTAAAAAAGAGAATGAAGTTTGAAAAGTTTCTCTCCGACATCCAACAAATAATTAATCTGGCGATAACATTTTTTAAAAATCACTGGATTTGAATATCATCAGACCAATAATAATTCGTACTGTCGCCACCACCGGATCCTCCAAAGGGATAAGGTCTCTGCTGTGTACCATTTAAATCGTTCCTCACTCGTACCATCTGAAACACTCACATCTACCAATTAATTTCTTACTCTAAAGATTAACTGTTAATTTTCTTTCCCTGCTGTGAACATTATCCCACCACTTCGGACACGATTCTGGTTCCATTTCTGACTAAGGACTGCAACTGTTGCGCCGCCCCCTGTAACGAAAATACAAAACGAACTACTAAGTGATGTTCAATGGTTAAGAAGAAAATGCAATAACTGAGTTATCAAAATTTAATGTATCATTAAATCTTGACTATGTATCTCAATTTTATTTTTGTAACACTCTAACTACCAACGATAAACGCACCCTTACTTCAATCGTTCGATAAACACGACAAACTTTTGAAAATTTACAAATTTATCAAATAACTAATCTCTTCACTTTCCTCTGTCAATTCTCCCATCCTACTTAACCCACCCCCTTATCATTCTAGTGAATACTATACACGTAATCTCCGACCTATAACTATTTTTCCCTTAACCCCTTGCCTTACGATTTTCTTGACGTCTGCAGTCTTCAAAATTACTTTCTTCTCAATAGTTTCCCAGAAACGAAAGGAATTCTGTACTGATCGCAACTGTATATTTACTGTAAAAGTTAAATATTATTACCAAAAAAATAATATTTTACTTCGACTCAAAGGAAATGAATAATATTCATATTCGTCGAATCGATTTTGGAATCTTCAGCACGAGTCTGACTCGAAGTCACAAGGCAACGGGTTAAAAAAAAAAGATCCTAATCGATTTCTCGCCAGACGAGACAAGTTAATAAGATTCCAATGAAATGCACTTATTCGTTTCTCCGTAGCAATCAACGCCGTTAGATGTTTATTGTATTCATAACGACCGTAATCAAGTCTCCCCGCTTACGTTCACCATTATCATATCGGTGGCCGTCGTGAAACGGCGTATAACGAGCGAATTAATGGGTAGTAACTTACGCTTATCGCGGCGCCGAGAAACTGACTGAACGCTCTGGTAGCGCCGAATAACGCGCCGCTTCCAGAATTATCGCCACCTTCGGCTGACTGTGCCGGAGTACCGTAATTGGCGAAGGAACTGAAGAGGGGAGGTGGATACGTCGAGCTCGGCGACCACGTTGTTGTGCGTATCCTTGGTCTTGAGGTCGGTCTCGGTGTCGCCGACTTTTTCGTGGTGTCCACGGGTCGGGGAGTCCCAGTCGACGACGCTGGCCCTGTCGTGATTGTCGTGGACTCGGTAGCAGGGGACCCGGTCGGAGCAGAGGTGACGCTCAGACCGAGGCTCTGTTACAAGACAAGCAATTATTCGCTTTCATTGTGATCGACTTTTCGTTCTGCTTATGGCTCACAGTGGGTGAGAATCGGAAAATACTGGCCAGCATCCTCAAACATGAAATGTCTTTCAAGGAATCCATATTTCTTTCTACAGGATATTAATAAAAATGTGGGACACTTTCACGTGGTTGATTTTACAGGCCAAACTAAAGGAGCATTTAGACTTCACACTTTGGATGTGAAACGCAGATGATTGATCCACACCGAATGATGGAAAGATTGTTTTCATATGCAATTCATCCAAATTGATCAGAGAACAAAGTAAAGCCAGTGTCTACTTTTGATGAACTGGGTGGATTGTGGATGAATCATCCGCGATGCACTTCCAAAATGTAACTGAAAATTCGCCTTAAGATGAAAATCAAGAATTACGAAGTTGCGTTCGAGGCATCGTTTTCAAGTAATCGAGTGTTGAAAATACGAGCATTATACGCGTGAACTACACGCCCGCTCGTAAATATAGTAATATCTCGATGAGTGCGACGAACTCGGATCCGTTTTGGAGCATTCGTGGCAAGGCGGGAAGGTTTTCAGTCCTTCTGAATTGGATGAATTCGCAGTCTAATTATTAAATAGAAGAACATTTCGCCGGTAACATTAGGTCAGTTCTATCGGGAGTGATGCAACGTTTAGCAGCAATATTATGCGTGCAGTACTAGTATAACATTCTGATCAAATTAATCATACTCTACCGTCTGCATAGAGTACGCAGTCAAAGGAGCAAAAAAATTATTCATGCAAGGCATGTTTCGTTGTGGATGGATATGCGGAGACGGTTTCTGAGGCCAACATAAAGGCAACATTACAATACTTACAGCTAACAATAGTTGCTCTCTAATGTTGGTAGCAGGAGTCGGTGGTTCTATACCTTGGGCCTTTAACAATGCCGCCAATAAGGCAGCGTTACTGATTTCATTCGACGGCGCAGGAGTTGTCGTAAGGGCACGTCCGCTTAATATCGCTCTTAAAAACGATTCGTCATCTGGCTTCAAACTGGACGATTTTTTCGGGGCGCTGGCTTTATTGTCTGCAACAAAATAGTAAAAAGTGTGTCTGTATTAACAACGTCAATGAAACTTACGAAACAAGTATTAATATCTTATTACGGTGTTAATAAATATTAACATACTTAAAGAATAATGCAGAATTTTAGCAGGATGATTTGTGTAACCACAAAACCTCCATGGAAGACCTCCCATGGAATTATTAGTGAAACTATGTAGACATGCATCACTTATGCACAAGATAGAATAAAATTAAGGCTAACTTCCTATCATGTTAACTACAATTATTAACAAGAATAGCAGTTTTGCACAACATCCGTAGATCTCTGCAAACCTATATCGTGTGGGGCACGATAATAATCCCCCGTAATGTGAGACATCGTCATTTTTATTAACACCCTGTATGCCAATACAATTTATTAACACCCTGTACACCCATACAATCATACTCCACTTACCCTTTTGAACAGCGTTCAGCAGTGCAACCAAGAACTTAGCGTCATCTTCGGGAGAGAACGTCGACATGTCGACATTGGGCAGCCTCGGGTTCGGATTGTTCAGCAACGACAACTTGGTCGTGGATACTGAGCTAGGCGTGGTCACAGATTTCGCATCCTGCACGCTAGAATACGGCGTACTCACTTGGATCTTCGAGATATCCACACTACGTAATGTAGTGAAGGGAATCGCCTCAATGGTCTCTGGCTTTTGCGTTGTTGGGACCGGCTTCGGAGTAATGTTGACGGATTTCGGTGTGGTCTTCACTTGTTTCGGCTTCGTAGGTTTAGAAGTGGACTGAGGTGCAAATAATCCACCACCGAACAAAGCTTGCCACAAAGTTGCTCCAAGACCCAATGGTGCTTGAGTGGTGGTCCTTGGTCGCTGAGTAGTCGGTGTTTTGGCTGTGATAACTACTGGAGCCTTCGTTGTGCTTATCAGAGTCGATTTAGCCGTAGTCGATGCACTAAGTCCTAAGTCTTTTTTCGCAGTAGTGGTCGAAATCGGTCTCCACGTTGCTTGATCGAGCAACGAATTAATAGTCGTTGGCTTCTCAGTCAGTTGCTGTTGCGGTGATGTTGATGGTGTCCACGTTGGCGTTGGTATAGTCGATGACGGGGATAGGTCGATGACTATTGGACCTGAAGGAGATTTTGTTGAGGATGGAACTATCGAGTTCGGAGACGCATTTTGGAGGTTAATTGCTTTTGGAGCTCGAGTCGGACCTGGATTGTTCAGGGCCAGCGACAGAATCTGAAATTGAAACTTGGAGTTACGTGATTCTGGATTTGATAACAAATTTAATGTTTAGAAAAAGCCACTATTTGTGTTTCATACAACTTCGAATCTTTCACGTATTCTGGAATTTCAAACAGGAAATCCAAGATTTTCTAAAATTATTGCTTTAACGTCCTTGAAATTAACATCTTCGCCTAAATCCCCAGGTCGAATTATTCACACAATATTGAATAGTTGCATTAATATTTCTATCGCTACTACAAAGTTGTACTTTAACACACTAATAGCCAGACTTAATGACATGAACCTTCATGAAAATTCTATAAACTCAAATAAACTTTTTAATGGACTGTGACTTCTAAAGCTAGGTTTATCATGGTATAAATTACTCTAGCCTTTTGGAATCCTGTAAACCTTCATTAAATTCGTTTTATTCGGTACCTTATCCTAAAGATTAACGTTTGAAATTGTATCATCCATATATGGGTGACGTGGGCAGTCAAAGCGTTGAACCTCATAGAATATTTCATGCGTTTTAACAGAATTTCACTGCCGCGTGAATATTACGCAGATTAAGTTCTATTATCGTAAACGTGAGCGAAAGATGACGAATCAGACAACCGTTGCGTAGAACACAGAAGGCCGTTGGCAAGGTTGTTCCAGTCCATTCACCGTGACTGGTCGATCATATGATTCCGGTCGTCGCGGATCCGTCATTATGTCTTTAAAAGAAGGGCGTGACTAAAGATAATCTACCGAATTTTTCTTTTTTCGCGTGACTCAGACAACGGTTTTCTTTATGCCCCGTGCAGAAATACGAGGAACGAGTTACTGGAAAACGATACTGGATCTATGGTTGCACTAACACTGTCTCGAACGTTGCGTTAAAAACGACACACAGTTCGTTGCACAGATATATATAGGAGTGAAAGGACTCCCAGACGTTTGTGTCGACTTGGTTTCCGCGATAGATATCGAACGATAATTGTAACTATTGTTACGCTAGCAAATTGTTTTTCTGATCCTACTCTGCAATCCTTTGCTAAGAAATGGGTAAATAAATATTTTTCAGTACATTTATGTAAGTCAACTCATGATACTAAATAAAACGTGTAAAGTTATGGAAAGTTTTCAAAAATGCGTCACAACAGTCATTATGAGAAATGTATGAAGTAACTTATTAAGGAAGGCATGACACAATATATGTATATGCGTAAATCGTCGATGTATGTTTACGTCGTCGAAATAGGAAAATTATAAACAATTGTTTCTATTAGGATGTGGATATATTTATAAATCTTCTTTCATTAAAGTATGGTCACAATAAATAAGAGGACCATTTTTTAATTTTATTTCCCTTCTTAACCATCACATTCCAAATCGAAATAAAAGACTAATAATAATACTGCATTCTATTATTAATTCGTTACGCTTACCTTGTTTGCTAAAAGTTGCTCGACTTGCGTAAGAGTTTTCGGGGTGGTACTTCTGGAGTTAGTCTGTAACTACATAAATTACAAATCACAATATAGAAATCCGTACTGAAATAAATCCAATGGTTATGTTCATATGTCAAGATAATATATTTGTTTTTTCGATATTGATGGAAGTAGTTAGTTAGAGTCGAAAAATGTAGTAAGATGCAATTTAAGTAATGAAAATACTTAGAGTGTCAATGCATTTATTCACGGTGTATTTAATCGAAATTTTAAAAAAATTTCCTAAATTATCAATTTGAACTAAGCACGTATTATCGAAACTACTGTGACATTCAATGTCAGCATCACTCATGTTACTTGAAGACAGTGAGCCCTAATGTTGAGGCAATATAATTTCTGACTCCGACCTACCAGAACCACTCTAAATATATGTATAAAACCCTATTCCATATTTATTGCGTTTATGTAAATATCATCATTTTCTCACAAAGTTAAATGAACAGATCTTTACTTTATCTATTTATCCCGGCGAACAAGCCCGTGAACGTTTATGCAAATTTCGGATTTTAAGATCGGACTTAAAACACTTATTGATAGTCTACTCACCAACGAATTTAAGAAGGCCAAATCATCGAACGATGTACCAAACGGATTTTGCTGTTGTATATTCGGCAACAAGTTGTTGGGTACATTGGATGGAGTCGTTGCAAAAGTGGGATTAGCTGTGACCGCAGGGGTAGCCGTCGCTGTTGTGCGAGACACGATATTTGCCAGAGATGGAGTGGTTATGGGTCGCGAAGTAGTGGTGGGCGGTGCTCTTGTTGTTGTTGGACCCATAGTAGTTATGGTTGTTGGAGCCATAGTAGTTGTGGTTGTTGGAGCCATAGTAGTTGTGGTTGTAGTGGTTGTTGTGGTTGGCGCCGTTGTTGTAGTGGTAGTAGTAGTTGTAGGTACAGCTGTTGTCGCTGTGACAGCAGTTCTAGTTGACATCGATATAGTTGTTGGCGCGCTAGATGGTGCCTGAGTAGAAGACACTAAATTGGCTCTACCGATCGCGCTAGAAAATGGGGTGAACACCTCGACAAATGGATTCAGCGGACGTGGAAGGAGTGAACCGTTCGACTCTACTGAATCGTCCTGAAACAAACAGTCATGTAATCAATTTTGAAGTAGGAATACTGATTTTCAAAAAAGAATCTGAGACTCTAGAGGCTTATCAATACTTTCAATGTAACAAATGAAACCTTCTTATCATATTTTCACATGTTCTATCTTCTTACTATTTATGTACAGAAAATATTTAGGATGGATGAATATTGAAAACATGTTATTAGTTTTGCGTTTCTCAAGTCATGTTTGTTGACATCAGTGATAATTTCGTGGTATTATTCAATTTTTGTTTAATAGATTTCTTTAGCTAGTGCAGATGTGGATCGATTTTTCTGCTTGTATTCAATAATTGTTGAAGCAAAGTAAATTGGACACTAATTATATTTTGGAACCGTTGTTCGTCGAGAACTTTTTAGTCTTCTTTATCAGTGTTATATGCTTCTAAAGTCTTGGGCTCATTTCTGTAACATCCTCTAATGTATCAAATAAAAGAAATAGTACAGAAAGTTTAATAAATACGAACCAGCGTGTTTGATGCGACCGAAGCCGTTATCACCGGCGAGGGAGTCGTGATACCAAAAATTTGATCGAGTGGATCCCTCCATGGAAACCCGGGCGGAGATGTAACTGTTCCGTTTGGTTGATTATTTAAAAGATTGTCAAATGATGGCACGAAGGGCCCTAGACCTTCATTTGCAGCAGTCTAAGTCACATAAAGAAATAATTAATATTTTTATTCAAATAGAAACAAGGTTTAACATTATACTGTATACCAAAGAGTAGAGAGAAATGGTGATGTATTTAAACCAAAGTCGCTAAAGTCTCATTTATGAAATTCTACCTTGAAATTTTCGTACAATATAAATTCTTAAAATAACTACAAACAGTACTATTCTCAGAAACAAATCTTGTAAATAAATCACTATGTTCTCTCAAGTTGTTATACAAGATGATCCATTATTAGTGGTGCAATAGACAAGATGATTCTTCATAAAAAGGTAAGTCGTAAATTAAGAATAAATTTTGTTCATATAAAATTCCATCTTCGAGGGGCTTTTGAAGGAGTAAGGGAATTTTCAGGACAATTATTCTCGAAAAAATTATACGCATGTACCCATCGGTGGCTCACGGCAAATTTGTTGTTCCATCTGTTTTCACTATCAATACGATATTTCATAATATCCAATATTTCTACTTAATCAATAAAACTGTTGCTTTTTTTGTATAGCACTTTGTATGTTATACTATTTTGTTTATGAAATTGATGTTTCCATTTTTGTGTAAGCTATATGGTTGCAATATTAGCGTTTATAGTCTGTTCTACTTTGGACCACCGAAGATCCACGTGGCGTGAACGGAATGTCATGCGGACTTGATTCATCGACGTGTTAATGTTTACATTAAGTAGAAACTGTAAGTGCTAAACAGACATAGTACCTCATTCCTATTTAAAAGATTGTATTCCAGACTTTCGAATAATTTCTTCATGAAAAATTACCCACTTCTCAGTTATACAATCAATAACAGACCATCCTGTATGTTATGTGTAAACTGCGGATGTTTATGCGTTTATAGCATACCCTGCATTGCAAAACGTAGCAAAATGGTGATTCTAGTTAAAATTTAATAGTGTTTATGTATTATTATTAACATATTAAAACTCCTAATATAGGAAACAAAATTTTGTGCAACATTCTTTTTCTGATTTTTTCAATTTTTAGTGTAAAAGCACTTAATTGATGTTTAATTATGTATATCCTATATTTTACATGTTTATATTTTTGTACCAAAAATAACTACTTTGGCAACCAAACGACTTATATATTAATGCACAAAGTTATAAATTTCCATAAATATCCGGAGTCTAGTAGTATGTACAAAGTCATAACAAATATCTAAGATTAAGTGTGATAGTGTTTTCGTCAATTTACTTACGGCTACTGAATTTATATTTACACTGACAACGCGCGGATTAGTGGTGGTAGCCCCGTCGGTCCAATAGTTGACGAACTTGTCCTGAAAGATACGACATTGTCTCTTACATATTTTTTTGTTTGTTTTTTATTTTGTTTTTTCTTTTGCTTTCACAGAGATACGACGGACCGCTGAAAGAATCAGCTACGGCGTCGTTGTAAATCATGCTCTGTCTCTCTTGCTTTCTTACCTGTCCGATGTACACGGAGCTGCGTTGACCTCCGGCCTCTTTCGTCCTGGTGGCCTCGTCCCTCTCTCGATCTTGGACGATACGACCGCCCTGCGAATCGGTCGGCGGTCGACCGGTACTTACTATCGGCGTCAGCCGACCGGGACTCGGAGACATTGCGCTCGACGTTGTCCCCATTTGCGTATTCAATGGGGCATCGCTCTAAACAGCAGAAAATTATTCGAATTCCTTTAAACTGATCAGCATTCCCTGAAGTTCTATCAGCACTGTTCGATAAATACTTCACACGGTGAAAATTTGATCCGTTGTTTGGAAATGTTTCAGAGATTTTAAAACAATCAATGGTATAGTCGAGATTGTTGGTACCAGACATTTAACTCCTAACTAACTAGATGGGGTCTGAGGAACCCCATGAATATTTTAAAAATACTTTATTCTTATTCAATAGTTAGAAAGAGATGCTTGTTTATTTTGATGTTTTCTTATGTGAGAATGTAAAGTAACTTGTTTTGTAATAAGTAATAAGATTTGTGTCATAGTAATAAGTAATGTGATTTTTACCTCACCACTTAAGGATTAAACTGAGAAATTATGTTCTCGACCGCATTCATAACGTAAAAAGTCTTCTTGAAGTGGATGTTTGATAAATATATTACTGGTCGAACTATGAGACCAATTGTCCCAGAATTAACGACAGAGGAAAATGTACAAAGATTGCATTAACCCTCCAATTCCCGTAGCTGAAATTGTGAATAAATGTAGACAATTTTATTTTAATTTCTATCCCTATACACAAGTGGTTCCAAGAGATTTGTTAAACAATATTTACTGTGACAAATAGATCAAACCAGAGATCCTATGGCTGTTTTATGAAATAAAATGTTCAAATAGATATTAAATTGCACATTGGGGTGGATTCAATTCTGTAAAATTTCAATTCTTTTATGTAACAGGCCAAATGAAAGGCGGCACCTGTACGTGCCTATGAGAATGAAGGGTTAAGTTACTAATTCATTAATGTACCAAAACTGAACACAATTAATTTATATACCAGTCGTCTGCAAAATTTTTATTGTTTTGTTATAAAATAACATTTCACTTTGTTATTCATTAGACAAGCTGGTTTTATAGTTCTCACCAGTATTATATATTATAGAATATTTATTTATAACTTGTGCAAAAGTAGAATTATGAAGATCAATGGATCAAAGTTTCACTGTGTTCGACGGGCCGTGAGAGATCTATCACTGGATCCGGAGGTTGAATGACGATGACGCATTGATGGAGTCCTGTTTTCAAGAGTTTATCGAATACCACTTTTACGAGAATATTCATTCAATTTCTCATTTGTATAAAATATAATATGTACGTGCAGTGTTCTACATGTGAATTTGAAATTGCACTATTAAATATCTATTAATATAATATAAAAGTTCAAACAAATAGAAAATTTCTCAGATATCTGTAAAAAATTATGTGCAATTCAAAGTGCGTGGTGCATACAAACATGCGTTAAATGTATAATACAAAAATTATTTACAAATTTACAGTGAAATTATATACAACACCTTGTTATGAACATTATAAAATTTCGAGTGGGCATTTGATAAATTCTTCTAATATCCGAAACTACATCGATTCGCGAAGAAGAAAAAAAAATAGAAAAGAAAGATGATGAAAAGAGATAAACTTGCAAAAATGTCGTGTTTCTACAGAACTTGCACAACGTAATTAATCATCACGACATTGGAAAATTAGTTTATTACTTGACCAAAGATACTACTTCAACGTAACCAAAGCGTTATACGAGATGCAAGTATTCTGTGTCATTATGCGCATGAAAGTTAATATAAACAACAAAAATAAGAATTATTTTTACATGGATTAAAATTGAAACATATTCAGAGTGAGTTATCTAAAATAAAATATTTTTCTTTTCCTCGTTTGTTCCCTTCTTAACGTTCTATTACTGAAGATTTCAAGATAATTTTATATCCCTTAAAAACATCATTTTGAAATTATTCTATAGAAATTTTAACAAGTGTGCACAAGCGTAAACAATTACTTAAATAATTATTTCATAAAAATAACTTTTCAGGTAAAATATTATAACACGAATTTTCCCTTTTATATTTAACTGTCATATAATGATAATGAAAATATTCTATCCTATTGCCACAAACTTTGAAGACTATTCATATGTCAAAAGAAATCTTGAAGACCTCAACAAATTATTATCAAATTATTATACAAATATATCAGACTTCAAACCCAGGTAACTCACCCTTCACTTTTCCCCAAAGAAATTAATATCACATAAAATGAAATTAAACAAACGATCAGTCTTGTAATTACCAACCTAAACCCAGGTAACTCACCCTTCACTTTTCCCCAAAGAAATTAATATCACATAAAATGAAATTAAACAAACGATCAGTCTTGTAATTACCAACTTTGGAAACACCCATTGTATTATTTTACAATAAAAATTCAAATTTCCACGTTTAAACAATTAAAAATAGCGAGTTACTTGTTTATCTTGTATTCGAAACTCGTTATCCATATAATGAACGTACCCACCTCTGTACAAAACTACAATGATTCTCTCATGCAACAATGACACAGTCGAAAGAACAAAAGTAACGGAGTAAGAAAAACCGATCCGTTCTCGAACGACATATATAACAATATCTCAGGCGAAATCGAGCGCACGGCTAACGATCGATGATGAACAGGTGGAATAAGAGATACCATTTCGTTGATGCTTGGGACGCTAGCAGGGGTACCAAGTGGTCCCGTGAAATCGGGTCCACCTCCATTAGGGCCGACGATCGCGTTACCAGTTAGGCCAAGATCAACGTTGCCGGGGCTTTCGACGTTTGTCATCGGCTGAGGGAGATTATTACTGTACACCGGGCCTTGATACTGATTGTAAGTGCCTTGGTTAGCCTGGTTATAATACGGTCTGGGTGGTGGCCTGTTAGTGGTAGTGGAAGTGCTAAGTGAGAACACAACCTCGACCGGGCTCCTAGGTGGATCCGGTATAATCGTCCCGTTCGGGAATTTCCGGACCAGCCTGCCATCCGGGAAGATACCGAATATCACGTACGGGCTGTCCACGTTCCTTGCGTCGATCAGGTTGTCCTCTGGTCGTTTCCTAACGATCGTTTTGTTCGGATAGATCCCGTAGATCAAGTAATCACGTAAAGGAGCTCTGGTGGTCGAACTGAGGCTGAAACGTGGGGCAGGTGTCAATCTGCTACCGCCAAATCGACCTAAATACGGCATAGTCGGAGGATTCGTAGGACTATTTGGCATCGACATTCCAGGTGTCGTTTGAGGTACTCCAGTTGTCGTTTCACTGGGACCACTTGCATTCATTGTCACGTTCATGACGACCCCAGAATTTATCCTCGACGTCGCAGTATCAGGAGAGACTGTTGTTGTTGCGGGCGCCTCAGTGGAGACGAGATTCTCGTTAATGTCCTCGGTAGTCGCCGTGGTCTCGAGCATTGGCGTGACAGTGACGGGTTCCATTCCGGCTGACATTGTCGTTCTATCAGGCTGTCCAATCGTCGATGTCGGTGTCTCTGTCGTGGTCGTCGGTGTCGTTCTCGTCGTGGTCTCGGCCGTAGCTGATGTGGTGGTAGTGATCAAAGTTCGAGGAGTCGATGTAAAGGACTGAGGAGATGGAACGGACGGGGTGGTGGTGGGTGTGAGCTTGGTCGTTTGGCCAATTCCTGAACCTGCCGTCCCTTGGGCGGTTGCTGATGTATCCTGGAAACGGGCAACAACAGTTGGAGTCTCGTTTTCAAGGTACGGGGTCGTTTGGGGTGTGTTTGTCGTTTCATCGGGTGTATTAGTGGTAATACCCATTACAGACTCTGCGGTGGATATTAGAGGGGACTGGTTGGTAGTAACCTCTGCGACATCCATTGAATTAACAACATCCAGCGACGGGGTGGTTGTCGAGAATGCTGCTTCAGAGGTATCGTTACCGACCGTGTCAGTGGTCAGGGACGGTAACTCTGTCGCAGCTTCCGTAGTCGTGTTAGTTTCAACATTTACATCGGTTGTTACGTTCGAGATTAGCTCTGTGGTGGGTACCACTGTGGTTAACTCGGTGCTCGGTTCGGAGGATGTCGACGGTGTACTGGTGGCTATATTTACACGGGAGAGGATACTTTCAGGAACAGTGACCGTTGTAGCTACTTCGGGTTGGTTAGTGGCGGTGACTATCGCCGGTTGTGACGTTACTGTGGTCGTGTCGGTTAGTCGTGCTACAGTGTCTGTAGACGCGGTGACCACCTCTGTGACTCCAGAAGGTGTTTGGGTCTCTGTCGTGGTGAGCAAGTTAGACAATATCAAATCGAATATGTTAGTGGTTAGTTCTAAACTCGCGACTGTCGTGTCTGAGCGTTGTGTAGTTGTCTGAGATTGTGTCGTTGTGTCCAGGCCTGTTTCGGAATCGGGCAAAGTTCTACTCGAGAGAGTCGTTTGTGGCCCATTTTCCGACATGAACGAGGGAGTGGTGGACTCTACGTATTCAGCTAGTGGTCCTAACGTTGTGGTTTGTTTTGTCTGCACAATTTCCACATCATTGTCGGGCACGTTATCCTGAACGGTTGTGGTGGGCGTGTCTGAGGAATTTTCCGAGGGTGAACCGGTCGTGGTGGGTTCTACGGAATCCACTTCGTTTTGGGAGGGGTCAACCGAAAGGGTTGTTAATTCTGGCGGGCCGACAGTGGTTGATGTTGACTCTACCGTTTCTGTCGTAGCATCTGGGAGAATGGACGATGATTCTGCAGCTTGGGCTGTGTCTGGTGCATCGTCTGGCGAGCTAGAAGTGTTATTTGAATTTCGTGCAGGTGTCGATTGTTCGGTCTCGTTTATCTCCTCCGAAAGAAGTGTCTTGGCGATGGACATTAATTCGGTTAGTAAAGTGTCATCGGTGGTAGTAACCGTTCGCGATGTGATTACTTCGGTGTCTGGTGGAGAGCTTGTTGGGTTGTTCGAAACGTTCGAGGTAGTTGTTTGGGGGTCTTGTGTTGTTGCTACCGGTGTGGATGTGACTGGATTGATATCGTTCTGCGTGTTGGCTTCTTGAGTGGATACCATTGCATTAGATGGATCGGTGACAGTTGTGGGTAACTGTGTAGTAACTGAACCTACTGCGCTGGCTTCTTCGGTTGTCGTTGAACCCGGTTGGTCCATCCTAACCTGTGACGGGATAGTAGTATCCGAATCTCCTGGGGAGGTAGTGGTTGTTTCAGTCCCCTTCAACTGTGCTAGAACCTCCAAAGTATTTTCCCTGCTACCTGAATCCAATATCACGTTCGATATCTCGGTCGCTGGAGGTATCGTGGTAGTGATATCTTGAGGTGATACCGTAGTTGTGCTTAGAGACGCTTGCAATCGTGATAGAATATCTTGTGCGAAATCTATCAGTCTGCCACGAAGCGTGGACGTGGCTATTACTTGCGTAGTGGTCTCCACATCGACTAAATTATTCACCACTCGCTCCGTCGTAGGAACATTTGTGCTAACCTCGGCTGTCTGAGTCGAAGTCACATCGGACATTTGTATGGTGTTATTCTCTGGATCCTCTGTCGCAGTAGCAGGACTGGTGCTCAAAACGGTGGTCGTCTCTGCAGAATTTGTCGAGGCTTCGGTCATTATGGTGGTCGGTACTCTTCCATAAAGCTCACTGGTATTATTCTCAAGTGCAGAATTTGTGCTGGTAGCAACATCAGTGGGCATCGTCGAACTGACAAGATTCTGATTATCTGGAACGGTGGTTGTTTCTGCAAGGGAATTAGAACCATCGCCTATCCTCGCGAAGACGTCGAAACTCGTTGGAGTTACGGTAGCTGGTATATTTGTGGTTACTAGAGGTGGCTGTGTCCTGACTTGATCAGAGGCAACATTTATGGGAGTAGTGGTGGACGATTCGGTACTTGTGAAAACCTGCTCGGTGGTGGAAGATGATTCTGTGCTTGTCGGATCGGTATTGGAGGAAGATGCTGGGCTCGCGGTGGCTTGTTCGGTACTGGAGGATGATTCTGTACCGGTGGAGACCGGTTCGGTCGTCGAAAGGCTTTCAGGGGCTCCTGTGGTAACCACGGGGGTGGTGTTCACCGTTTCCTCGGGTAATCTCGGGGTGAATGTGCTATCCTGGGTAGTGGCTGTGTCTGGGGTCTGTGGGCCTGTGGTGGTGGTCGATACGGTGGGGCTTGTGGTGTCATTGTTAGGATTATTGCCGGTCTCGTTAGCGACACTGGCTCTAGATTCTACCTGGGGCAACCCGTCAACTTGCTCTTGTCGCTGTTCATTCGTGTTTCCCTGTAACTGTTCGTTCTTGACGCTAGCAGTCTCCAATGCCTGATAGAGGGTTAAGAATCTTGGCTCGCCAGGACTCAAGACATCGACCGACGGTGCCGAGCCGGAGTTCTAGAAACAAAAATTTCGTGCGTGCTGGGTGTGCTGTACACGGTACCAGTGCCGAGTGGGTCTGGGTGGAGTGTATTTTCTATGTATGTACACAGTTTCGAACGTCGTCGGTGCATCAACGGTCGGTGTATTTACATATTGAAACATGAAGTAATAATGTACATGGGTGTTCATTCGTAATATTTACACGTTCAATATTCCTTTCGTGGATAGATTACAGAAAGATAATTGATTTTACGTAACACAATATTACAGGATACTTTAATTAAACCTATGATTGAGTGAGCATACACCATCTCTTGGCAACGATACGAACTACTTAAAGAAGAGGAGAAACTGAGGCTGCTTTAACGTACCAAGAAATACAGGTATTAGCGAACTAGCATGCGAGCTAGAAACTCGTTCCTCGGGCGAGGGATCGTCGATACTGGCGATAGAGACTGGTTGCCCGTTCACTTTGATTTTTTTCGACTTAATCGGGATTTCTCACAGCTGTTGATCCTCTCTCACAGAGGTCTCCAGCGATATCTCTTTGATCAACCAAGTATAGAAACTACATCGAAATATATTTCATTCGTAAGTTTTTGAGTATTTTTTAAATTCTTTAAAATTAAATATACTAACACCATATGTTTCAGGATATATGTAAATTTTTTAAATTAAATTAATAAATCATTTTCGTATTTATATGAAGATGTTTTTGTAACTTTAATTAACAGTGATTATTTCTTAGAAAAGGGGTCAATCACCGATTATTGAAGGTACATTCACGATTGCAGTGTTTCGTCGCTCGTTTGAAAAGATCTCGGTCCACCCACATATCCCAGATAACTTTCAGACATTTTTAATGGATACAGATTATGCAGCATCCACTTACTTTCACTCGTTACCGCCTGGAACGCCGTGAAACGAAGTGATCAACGAAATTGTAGCTATGCAATCGGAATGCAAGTCTACTAGACAGCGAAGTCTTGTTTCGACAAAGCTCAAATGAAGAAATTAATTCATTTCACCGAGGCACAGTCACGTGACCTTTATTAAAATTTTACAAGACATCGTGATGACATACACATACATTGAGAAACTAAATCGAACAGACTTATCATAACAAACAAATGGTGCTTTTGCGAGGGTATTATGATTTAGTTTGATATTCATTTGAATTAATTATTGTTGGAATATTTTACGAATGTGAATCTTATCAAAATTGTGGAAAAAAGTAAAACGTAGGCATTCGTTTTAACAACAAAAAATTGATATTTTGTATATTTCAATGTATTGAAGAAAATTGTAGGAGAAGAAATTACTAAGAGAATTGGCTAATGCTCCTCAAATATTGGAAACTGTAATTCTTATATTAATGTTCATGTTAAGTAATTGTGATAACAACCTCTATGAAATAATTATGAACGTGTTTAAATAAGAACGAACAATTGCGTATCGCGTGCGATCCAGAAACCAGTACATTTATTACCAAAGTTATGTATAATATTGTATAATGCAATATATTATTTAATGATGATAGTAACAACGTAAGTACCTGTACATATTAGTATTTCCTAGGCGTTAATCACAAATTATTAGTTACGTTTTTTATTCACTTTTTCAATATTATTTATCATCTTTTTTTTTTTGCATTTTCAAGTATAAGTTTGTGAGGAAAATGTTTATGTGTATTCTTATACCAGAATTAATCACAATAATCAACTTTCTTGTGCGCTCAATACTCGCGTTGATACTAAGGGTATAATAATATATTTCCTGTGAAATTAATAATCATTAAGAATTGTATAATTTTTTCAGGAACGGCAAATCCTAAAATATTGGTAGAAAAACACATGATTAATGGTTAGTAGCATATATAACGGTGTATCGTTTGAATCATTAATTTAACGCAGATTATTTGTATCGATGTCGATAGGATCGAGATTTCCTGGTGTGGTGGCGATGACACCAATCTGTTCGGTCCAAGACGGTGGCGCGACTGCCTCGATCTCCTCGTATATCTTCGTGGTGAAAACCTTTTAAGCACACAAAAACGACCACACTGACTCACTATTAGCTTCAACTTTCTTCAGCCACGTAATCTTACCTCCGTAATTATCGACATCATCGGTTTCTCTCGCACGTTGCATTTCGCATATTGTTAACGTAACACATAGGTACTCGATATACTTATTTTCCAATTTTCAGTTCTATCACTTACAATTTCATTAAATTTCACTTTCATCTTATTTTGATATAACTGAATTGAAAGATAAGCTACTGGATTTTAATTTAATCTCTAAAATACACGTTGATCCTGTTGAGCTCCATTTGCACACAAATGTGAAAGCATAGATCTTTACGAAAAACTTAGAACAGAATCTTCAGAAATTTGTATACATATAGTAACTGAAAGATTTGTTTATACACTCGAAGTCAAAACTAGTTCCAAGGATTCAATTGTTAATATTATTTATCCAGTAGCCTTTATATGATCAACATTCAGTATATATATGTACATACTAAAAACATGTAACAAAAACCTTGCAAATAAAATTAATGCAAAATAAATTCAGTTAAAAATAATTTTGTGCGTTTTAATTACCAATTTGTTCTTGTAACTGTAAATTAATGCACGTTTCCGTATGTATTGTAAATGAATTGCACGTTAGTTATTCGTCAACATATTATAATTCCAAGTGCATGGTATATTTCAGAACTCATAAATTCTTATTAATTTATTAAGAAACGTTGAAACAATCTTACCTCTACGGGTGTAACTGGTGTGGTGGACGAACTGGTGATCGATGGCACAGTGGGCTGGTAAATATTATTCTGCTTCCTGACAAACAATTCGGCGCCCTTGTACCTCGCACTGAATCGTGGCGGCGATCCACTCGGTGTGATTCTTTGTCCTGTATTCTGTTCGCAAACAATAACAAAAGTGTGAGTGTTAAAGTTGACAGACACAAGTAACGTGTATTCCAACTACTTCAGAGAAATTAAATGACGTCAGTCAGTCAACTCTAACACTCGAACGACTATTGACGCTGAAACATGTAAAAAAAAATCAATCCTATGAAAGCCCTACAGTATTCTAATTAAATACTAATAGTGCCTTAAATGTCCCTATTTATATTACAGTGTTCATGCAAATCGATGTCACGGAATTTCTTTAAATAATCTAAGCTACATGCTTTATGTTACATACAGGTCATTGTCACACTTTATATTATCTACTCTCATATTTTTCTCAATATTTGAAAATATTGAAACACATAATAATATTACAGTTAACTCCCTCTTATCCGATCCCTATGAAACTAGACCTCTGACTGGATAAACGAATGGTCGGGTAATCGGAAAATATATATCAAATGTCATTTATATAATTATTATAAATAAAAAATAAAAGTAAGAAGCATATAACACTTAAACTATCAGCGTTGAATGTATACTAAATAAATTGTATAATATAATAATATGCAGAATATAAAAGACTAGCATAATATATCATGAAATAAAATTGGTAATAAATTAAAAGCCAATATAAATTCTATCAAAAGCACCATCATAATTTTAATAATGGTAAAATAGTAAATCACTAGTCCGTCATTTTGAGGGGTTTAGTAGTACTAGTGTTAAACAATGTCCAATATGTTAAAAACTACATTTAGAGTTACACAGGATGTTTTAGGTCAGATAATACACCCAGACAGAAGGTAAGTCAATAAGAAAAAATAAGTCAAAAAAGAGGAATAACGTTTTTCGTACGAGGCTTCGTTTTCGAGAAAAACCACTTGGAAATTACATCGATTGTGTACGTGTACTCGTGGTGACAATAAGTAGAAATGGAATGTAATGAACAGACACGTTAGCCAAGTTCTATTCAATGGCACGCGTATCCAGCAGATTTTCAAATTTAATTTTCTCGAAAACAAAATATCATAGGAAAAATATTTAATTCCATTTTTTTTATTTATTTTTGCATGCACATTAACCTCCTATCCGGTTCTACTGCCCGACCTGACACACTTGTGAATTGATAGTGATTGGTATCGGTGCAAGAGACATCGATATTAAATGTTAATACCGAGTATTTGAAACTTCGATGCCTGTCGATACTTCTGATTGAGTACTTAGGTACCGTAAGTTCGAAGTAACTTTGACTCACAAACAAGGTTTCTCAACCCACAATTTCGATTTTTATGAAACTTTGTGGGATTGTAGAGAGCATCAAGTTATGTAAGAAAAAAATTCTTTTTGGTCGGTTTTCATTAAAAGTTTTTTCCTATCTCTTACGGTTGACAAGATATACTGAACAAACACGAAAAATTCGGCAAACTTTAAGAGATCGTTTCATCTCAGTGGACCGAAAAGAAATATTGTTCCTTGCATAAGTCTGATACCCTCTACAATCCCACACAGTTTCATTAAATTCGAAATCTACAGATTGGGAAATCTCTTTTGTCAATCAAGGGTAACTTTGTCCCACAGTTAGAAAATGATCACTCCCGATTTTGCAACTGTTTTGAAGATATTTCTACGTAAAATACCTTTTCCCATCAAAATCAATTTAATTCAACAAGTTACAGAACAGCAAAATCGAAAATGATAATTTTCTGACTTGGGATCAAGTTACCCTGATTGAATTAAAGTTATCCGAACATATGATATCAAAACATATCGAATTCATCCCATCACTATCCGATCGACCGTTTAAAGTCCTTTCCCCTTCAGTGACCCGAAAAAGGTGATATTTAGGAATTTGTTTTAAGAATACAAAATAGATATGGTAAATAAAACTTCCTAGCCGTTGTTCATTATACAATCAAGTAAATAAAAAAATGTTTTGTTTCAATATTTGTGCAGCGTGATAAATTGTAGGTGGCGCGAATCATGTTGATAAAAAACTAAATAATGATTTTAGCGACCTCTACGTTTTGAGAACGGTGAACCTGCGATGGGTAGTGACACTAAAATGGAAATGGGATACGTAACCCCAGAAAAGTGGGCCGCAAAAATACATTGGATGAAATGTCTACTCCTATACCTCGTCTGTGCTGAAAGTATAAATAAAGCTCAGTAAATTTTTGTACCATATCTTCTTTCCTTTCTTTAAAAAAAAAATTCCTAAGTAACACCTTCTTTTCCGCCCAGCTAAAGAGGAACGAGGCCTTAAGCGTTAAAACAACTAAAAACAATTTCTAATGGCGAAATAGTTACCGCGTTGTTAACGTTGCTGTAGGCGCCGGAGAACACTGGGGTCTTGTTACCAAGGGAGCTGAGCAACGGTGCCACGGTGCTCCTCAGTTGCTCCAAGAGCGTGCTGTTTCCACTTGTAAGAAACGCGCTTCTGGTCGGATTGAAAACATTCGTGTTACCGCTGTCGCCGTTACTGCTGCCGGTAATGCCATCAGTCTGTTGCACCGTGTCGTTCGCGATCTTCAGATTGACCTGTGGTTCCTGCAGTACCGACGGAGTGGACGGCGTAGAGGTCTTCAAAGTAGCGTGATACTTCGGTGAACGTGGAGTGATGGCGACTCCAGAGCCTTCGACTTTCGTAGTGGTCTCGACAATAGTCGTAGGAACCTCCGAGTGCCTTCTATAGGTCGCGGTTCTAGGTCGGAATTCAATCTTCTTTGTCTGCGGCAGTGGTTCCTCTGTACTGGTGACCTTGACTTTGCTGTCTATAGGCTTCACATTGGCTTTCTTCCTGGAGTACCTACTGGTAGCTACAGGTAGCTTCGTGGTACCTATTGTCTTGTACTCTTGCCCGTCATCTACAGACTTATCCTTTGTTCTCTTCCTGTAACGGGGTCTGAACGTGGGTTTCGTTGCACTGTCGATCAGTTTTGACTTCTTCTTCATAACCTCTTCCTTCGATTCGTCCGAACTCCTTTGCCTCGAGATCTGCTGAATCGTCTGTGTCGAGTACTTGTTCGATGCAATCGTTACGGAAGTTTCTTCAGATGTGGACTGGTCCTGGGTTTTCCTATTTCTAGATTGGTGCACGTAACCTTTCTTAGGTTTGAAGCTGATAATGGAGTCATTATTCTCGTGGTTCGAAAGTTTCGCGGTTTTATTCGTCGTCGAGTTCTCTTCCTTGGGCTCCTTGCTACCACGACCGGATAGACGGATCCTGGTAGTGTCTAGGGTTGTCGCCGATGCCTCCTCCGCGGACATGGTGACAACAGGGGGATTCGAGATCTCGTAGGGTTTCGTCGTTTTCTCTACTCTCTCCTCGACCGAGATTGAAGTTACCATTCTCTCCGATATGATTCGTCCTTTCTTCGAGGTAGAGGGTCTGATGGTGACCCTCGACGGATCCTCCGGTACTTTTCTCAATCTGGAAAGCTTCAAGACTTTCACGTCCTCCCGAGAGCTTTCCCTCGAACCCCTACGATCAGTCGTGGCGGGTTTGGTGAACTTGCCGACCTTGCCGGACTCGTCGGCCGTTTTCGGTTTGCTGAAAGAGGAGGAGGCCGTGGTTGCGTCGAGATCATTCTCCTCGATGTTCAACTCTGGCTTCACTAACCTCCTAGCCAGATCCAGCTTCATCCGCGAACGTTCCGCGAACAGTGCCGCCGAGGATCTTTTCACCTGAAAGGGTCGTTCAAATAGCTCCGTTTTAGGATATCGGTAAACCACCGTGGTCGAGGCGAAAGCTGGCTCCGGAAGCTCGAGCGGGAAGGGCTCTGTTAGTGTGCCACGATCCCGACGTGATCTCCGTCGACGGTAGGAGACGTTCTCAAGGTCGCTCGCGAGCCTTACCACGGGTCGAGCGTTAAACGACCGTACACTGATCACGGGGAGACATAACGCGACGACGCACGGTTCCTATACGAGGTACAGAACCCTGAGGAAGCGCAGAAACGAGACGATCCAGGCTGCCATATGGCTCGTGACGAGCTCGAGCCACGATTTCACTGTACTGGTCAACAACTGGAAAGGTTTAATTCACTGTTATCACAGGGCACGACGGAAGGCGGGTTTCGCGCGCGGATGGAAGAATCCATGGACGACCAAGTGGACACGATCCACGGGAGGAAGACAGTGACATAGAAAACTATAATCGACGATAAAAAGCTCGAGGCTGCTGAAGCGGTCTCTATTAAACGTACTACGGAAGGTTACTTCTACGGCGAGCGACTGTCCTCCATTCTATCCTTCCAATGATTCGATAAAAAAAAATAACACACACACACACACACACGTGTCCAACTATCCGACAGTCCTCGATAAGCATCGATCAAGCGATTAGCTGCGGTGAAGAGGTGACATAATTTAGTTTTATTACGGAGAGAGCTGTGAACCGTTTTTTTTTAATCTATCTAGCTCGTGGTAGAATCGATTCCAGGGCGAAAGGAAACCAGTTTACTGTTTACGGATTTCACGTGGCGTGGCGGTCGTGTCTCGTGGCTCTATGTGGAATGCGTAAATGAACTTTAACGTATCAGCTTTGCTGATAATACTTTCCAGTCTGATGTTTTACTAAAGTAGAGCTTGCATCGTTTAAAGTAACAGAATTATGTGTTCACGACTTTTCCAAATTGACTGATGTTCTTAAATTTGAAAGAATTTTGAGACCAATAGATAAACCTGTGACGCGTAATTTGAAATTACGTATAAAATATTACGATAATGAGACATTATGTATGTTACAATAAAGAATACCATATTTCGAAATTGGGAAAACCTTTTATTTTGGAAATAACCTACTATTCAAGGAGTTGTTTTTTGAACTTCGTTTAAGAATAAAACGATTCTTTCCTAGAAATCAATCATCCTCTAATTACAAGGCGGAAGACTATTCAATTCCACGTAATTTAGTTCAGAAATAAAATATGTCGTTTTTCAACAGAGACCTCTCATTGACTGCGAAAAATCACCTTTCCCTTCTTCCCTTTCATTTCCTTTCCCTTCTGCCTTGAAAAATTACTATCATTACACTCCTGTCGTTTCAGAATTGAGAGTAATGTACAGGATGTTACGAGAAAGATTAATCGAGATTCATAAATATCTTATCCTCTAAATCATTGATTCTTCACGGTTTCTATATCAATTTCAAGTGTTGAATGCGGAAGTTATAAATATTAGAAATTTCAACTATCAAGTGTAATTAAAAGACGATTATTTCATCGACTTATACAGTGAGTCACAGAAGTATTCATACCCTCGCAATTCTTGAATTTGATTACTAATAATTCTTTAATATAATGATATGTAGCGCAATAACTAAGCTTTTGCACGATGCGTCGTTCATTGGAAAACAATAATTCATAGTAATATAAATAAAAACTCTAATATATTGTTAAAGAATATTAATGATTCGAATTCAAGAATTACGAAGGTACGAATACTCCTGCGACGCACTGTACATACACACATGTCTTTAGATTAAAATTTCTTACATTTCTGTACAATTCTTCAAAGTATATTAATGTATTCCATTATGAATAAAATAAGAAAAAACTGCACTTACAAAGTGCATAAAAGACTTACAAAAATATTATTGAAAATCATGTGAAAGTATACTGAAAGTAATTCTTCATTCTAAAATGTCTGTTTATCAAACCTCTTTATACTCCATTAGACTTTCCTTTCTTCGCGTAATTGTCGGTGCAATAATCACACAGCGTGGAGCATACTTTCTGGGACACCCTATACATAAAAACGTTACACTACCTTTCATTACCCATTAACAAACAACCGCGAAGTGTATAGATATCTTACAACTGGCAAGATAAGTGAATCTCATTTGGAACATCTCGTCGAGGCTACGTCATTAAGGGGAACCTCGAACAATAACGATTTTCACTGCTCCGTAACGGATAAATCAAAACACATTACGTTCAAGTAGGTCAAACAAACATTTACTTTCCCCGCGAACGATTCCGAAACAAAAGCAATCGAACGCAAAACCGAAAACCAGTTTACGATGTTGCATATATAACTGGGCCTTCGCGATAAGCCACTTGGACCGGTCCGTTAAACGAACACAACGAGAACTGGCCGCGAAATTTCACCCGAAAAATGTGTCTCAGAATTCTAATTCTCAGAACTCTATTCAGACCTTGAGAGAACTCCTCGTCGAGGATCCGTCAGCTACTCGTGTTAGAATATCGTTCGATCCAGTCGTATTTGGACATCGACGATACGATCGAAGCTGGCGATCACGATGAACGTACCCAGATCACTAAGCATCCGATCTTCCAGATAGTACGAGATCCGTTTAATAATTCACCAACCACCAGAAAAGCTTTTCCTCATTTGGCGTTCCTCTGTTTAATTGTTAATCACGCATCATTGCCCAGTCTCGTTTGGTCGTCAATGATGTTAAAAGCAACAGTCGCATTCATGAACCGTATCCTTCACCCAATAATAAGTAGTTTATCAAACGATTTTAAGATTTCACGCTGGGTCAGGATTCATAAAAAATTCCAACTTCCCTTCTGTACATATTTTTCAGAAAATTAGAGAATTCTTGTATATTTTCGGTTTGAGAGAACAACAAATCTGTATTCATGATAAATTTTAGCTTGCCTTCTTATAATATCATTCAGAAAATTAGAGAATTCTTGTATCTTTTTGCTTAGAGAGAACGAAGAATCAATTCACGATCAATTTTAACTTCCCTTCTTTCTATATTTTTCAGAAAACTAGAGAATTCTTGTATATTTTTGCTTAGAGAGTACAAAATATCAATTCATGATAAATTGTACATTCCCTTCTTTTCAGATCTTTGAGAACATTAGATACTTCTTATAGAATATTTTTTCTTTCAGAATACAAAGAATCCAAATTCATAACAAATTCTAACTTCCCTTCTTTCTATATCTGTCAATAAATTAGAGAATTATTATATATTTTTGCTTTGAGAGAACAAAGAATCCGTATTAATGATGTAACTTTAACTTCCCATCTTTTCATATTTTTAAGAAATTGGAGACTTCTTGTATGTATTTGCTTTGAGAGAACAAATAATCCGGATTTGTCATAAATTCTAACTTCCCTTCTTTTTCGATATTTCAGAAAACCAGAGAATTCTTGTATATTCTCTCTTTGTGAGATCGAAGAAGTAACAATTTTACTAAGTACATCCATTTCAATGGATCAAAGAAAAATTCATTTCGGTCTTGGACTCGAAGCAAGGACTCGGGAATCCAAGAAGCCCAAGCGGTTCGCTTGAGAATGAAGCCACTAAGGACCGAACATCGTACACAGTCGGATCCTCCTAAGAAAGCTGAATGAAAAAAAAAGCTCGGTCTGCAACGCATCGGATGAGGGAATGGGTAAAGAGAGAAGCGGACACGCGTTAAGAATAATTTTCATTTGACTCTTACGCGTCGCAATCCTGTGGTACTTATCAACGTTAAGGGATTGACGATCAAACTATGATCCGTGAGAAAGAGATTCCCTGAGGCCGAGGTATCGAGGTCGTCAGGCTCAAACGCCTTCGAGTTGGTCCTCGTACGGCGACCGAACACTTTCGTCTGTTGATCCTACACGAATTGTTACGACTTCAAACATTAATCGCTGAACCACGAATTCCTGAACGATAGACACACGGTTCCAGGTGTTTTTGAAGGTATATAAAAACTTCGTCAAAATATGGAATCGCGAGTCGTGTGTTGTTACGTGGCATGCTGATTAGACTGTGTTTGGTGTTAAATATTCATGTATAAGTTTCTTCTTGGTCGCGTTATGTACGTTCTGTATGCCATTTCAATGTGCCATTTGAATGTACCATTTTAATGTACCGTTCACGACAGTGTCAGTGGTTATATGTCTACGTAATAAGTATTGTTGTAAATGTAAAGCCGGAAATTGTTCGACTAGAATAGAAGCATAGAAGTGTTACGACCAATTAGCAAGAGACAGAGAAACTTTATCGGATGCTGTTAGTTGTGTTTGAAGATCGCTGTGGACTCTTACCTCCAATGGTGTTTTAGACGTAGCTTTCGGGCCTGGTGTTTTGGTGTTCGTAGTCTTCTGAAAGCACACTTCTCGGTTAGTCTATGAAATCTTTTCGTTGACAGGCTATAGATCAGCAGTATTATAAAGTGTTTACATTAAACAAAAAATAATCTTAAAGATTTCGATAAGTAATAGGTAATTAGATTGTAGATGTTTATGCAAATTCACAATTTCAAATACTAATATTTAAAAATGAAAATGAGAGAAAAATTTCAAATTGACTATTCAGAAATGAGAAAATCAGAAACCCATGATAATCATGACATCATACTGATATTTATCATGGACTTCCAACATCCATATGATAAAGCAGAAGGGCGTCAATATATTTTCATTAGACGACTACCTCAGGGGTGACGTACTTCAGGCCCACCTAATAAAAACCTACAATATCTTACAAAAATATTATGTTTGTATAAAAAAAAATTACAGCAAATAAATAGTTTTATCAGTAATTTTTTTAAGAATACAGAACTTGTTTCTAAATAGAACATCAAGCAAATCAGTCACTTTCACTTTGACAATCCTAAAATATATCTGTTACATAAACGACATACAATTGCTGTCTTTTTTACTTCATTCTATTTTTCACGTTTGCTGTAGCATTTCTTTACGCATCAGCAACTATTATATTTTTATTATTTTTTAAACTTCTTCCAAATTTCTATAAAACAATATTTCTCGTGTAAAGAGATATGTTTATACAATATCTAATTTTTTCAGAATTCTTATGTAATTATTTTAGCGATAATTCTCAAAATAGTAATATAATGAGCATAAAGTACCCTCCCTTGATACTAGGATAGTTAAGAGAATAGTGGATCACTCCTTGTTACAACTAACAAAAACTTAAGCCTTAAAAAGAACTCACCAACTGAGTCAATCTCGCTTTAAACTCAGGCGGATAATTATCGCTCTCCTCGGTGTCAGAAGACGTCTTGCCAAGCCCAAAGCCCTTGTTATTACCCCTTCTGGAGCTCTTCGTTGTCGCATCGGCTACTGTAATACTTTCCTCCGTACTTGTCTGTTGCTTCTTGAAGCCTCTTCTCGTCGAACTTTCCACTGTCGTTATGATTTCAGTGCTCGTCGACAGTTCATTTGGCGGTATCACTTCGTTCGTTTGATCCCTCGGCGATGGTAGTACCGTTTTAGGAAGCATCTCGGATAGGTTCGCATGACCAGGTCGCCTTCGAAGGGTCCAGCCCGGATTTCCATGTGAATGCGTGTCGTTTTTGGCAACGGCAGGTTTCCCCGTGTCCCCGGAACTCGATGGTCCCTCGGTTGAGGGCTTCCGACCTCGAAATCCTAGACCATGATTGAAGAAATCCTCTTTCGGCTGCACTCGTGCTTGATTACCACCTCTACCCCTTCCCCTATTTCGTCCACCACCTTCAGAAGTCGTAGTCGATGACGGCCTTGTCGTTGTTGTTAACGTTCTTGAAGTCACGGTGGTTAATGTTGCAGGTTTTAAGGTACTCGTGACTTCGGATTCAGTGGAAGTTGTTAAGACCTCGGTGGACGCTGTCGTATCTGGTGTAGCAGTAGTCGTGACGTCTGTTGTAAGAAGAAGGCAAAGTTATATGGAATTTTAATAAATTTGGCAACTAAAAATTTTTATTGATATTGTTGATAAACTTAAATTCTTTTGTATATACATTGTGATTTTTATGCATTTGTGACGGATGCAAACTTGTAGAACTTAGTAGAAATTAGTACAATCCTGATAATTACTTCCCAAGTATTTGAATAAGTAGCATTTTACATTAAAGAGCAGTGGGATACTTCATCACGACTAAGATGCAGTAAAGATTTACAGAAAATACATTTTACCACTTTTCACTCCTTTAGGGGTTGAATTTCGAAAAATCCTTCCGTAGTGGGTGCCTAAATCTTAAGGGAAAACTATCCCTGAAATTGCATGTTCCTAGATTAAACGGTAAGAGTTGATGAGCCAGTCAGTCAGAACTACTTCTGTTTATGTATGTACATGTATATTTAGTAACTGGTGAGATATGGTCTGAGGAACTCCATGAATATTTTTAAAATACTTTATTTTTATTTTGTATTTATTTAAGGATTTATTTAGGATTTCGTAGTTACTGAAGTAGATGCTTGCTTACTTCGATGTTCTCTTACATGAGAATGCAAAACAACTAGTTATGTAATAAGTATGAGTGATTAGAATTGTGTATAGTAAGATTTGTATAATAAGTAGTAAAATTTCCATGAAACCAGTTAAAGGTTAAACACCCGAATTGAATGAATTCTTCCTTGATACCCACTCTTGTAAAATTAATAGTTTTCAAAAACTGAAATTTAGAGAAATATTCGTAGTCTGCTAAATTCTGGCGTACCTCACTTGTTACCGACACAAACGAGTTACTTCTTGTAGCTAAATAAATTAAACAAATTACCTTACTTTTTATCAACTAAACTTCGTTATTTATGTTTATTTGTACTATACGTATCTGAACCCGTTTACTAATCGTTCTATCCAATCGAAAGGTGTTAAAACGTTTTATCAGTTGTATAATCTAATCAGCATGAATTGACTGTTCAATGTCATTCCTAAATTATACTGTACTAAAAAAGTCCTTGTTCAAACAGGAACTATGAGTATCCAATTTGTATAACAAGCAGAGAAGTGACCCTGAAAAATCGATTGTGTTTCATCTGACTATTCTAAATTCCAACAATCTTTCAACTGTTCAACATATAATAATATTCTGCATGTGAATAAAAACGTAAGTGGACTTTACACATATTTACCTATAGCAATCAGCGTAGTGGTGTCCAATCTCAATCTACTTCTAGCTCTGCGCGCATCCAAATCCTGTCCACGACTTTCAACAGATCTAGCAGTACCCTCAGACACCCTATATCTCCTATCCGAAGGGCTTCTGTCCCCAGTCGATTTCCGTTTTCCATCTCGTTCCAAAGTTGTCGTCAATTTTGTACCATTCTCGAAACTTCTACTCCTTGATCTAGATCTCGATTCATTCCCGGGGCTCTTTTTACCCTCCGAACCTCTCGAGCGTTCCCTAGGAGGTACAGTGTTCCTCCTCGGGCTGACAATCTGCTCGCTGCCGTCAGTGGTCGCGTGATCGTTGAATTTGGAAGATCCTCTTCGCGAACTTCTAGAACCTGAATTAACAGCGTCAGGATCGTTGGAACGTCCACGATTCTTCGATCTCTCGGATCCTCCCCTTGAATTAGTTCTGGATGATTCCTTTGTATCTGATCTTTTGGTGACCTCTGTCACTGAATCGGTCTGAGTGGATGCACTTAATGGTGTAGTGACATCTTTCTCAATTGGACTTTCTGTACTCTCGACAGTTAAAGGAACATCAACTCTGACGCTCTCAGATTCTGACAGAAGAGTATCTTGACTCTATTCGAACGACCCGATCTGGTACGTCTTTCGATCCTTTCTGTCGTTGATCGTCTTCCTTCGGCCCTCTTCAACGAAACTGTGGTCGTCTCAGTTCCTTCGGGCCTTCTATTGTTGTACCTTTTAGCAGTAGGTACCTGCCCTTTGAAATCCCTCGGTGCGTATGTCGTTTGAATCTTCCTTCCAGTTCGTGATCTCGAAGATTCTGTGGTGACAGTGAACACAGACGGTCCATTGCTGTCCAGTCTTTCTGTGACATCCGAATCGCTGAGTCTCCTGGCGAACGTTTTTCTGGACGCTTCGGTTGAAGGACCCAATGAGACATTTCGATCCTCTTTTGATTTCGATGCTTCGATAATTTCTGACGAATACCTTTTTCCGTTCCGTCTGTTAATTGTCGGCTCTCCCTTTTTGATTTCGTCAATGTTCCTCCCTGATGCACTTCTTCTCGAGTTGTTTGTGATTTCGGTCGCTGCGGAAACGTTCCGTTCGGTTGTCTTTGTTGTTCTGAAATTCGAACGTTTACTAGACTCGAATTTCGTTTCGGGACTTGTTAACGGATTCGTTCCTTCATTCTGCTTTTCACTGTTTGGTTGCGTGGTCTTGTCCCGTGACGATTTCAATCTTGAGAATGGCGAGGTGCTGGTCGCTTCTTCGGGCGATTTAGTGTTGAACCTCAGAGTACCACGATCCCTAACACTGTGCGTTTTATGATCGTCGACCTAAAATTTGAACAAATGCATGAAAGTTTGTTTCTCATATCACATAAGAAAATAATTATTTCTTATTCGAAAAACAAATCGAGTCTCTTAACAATTGTGAATTATTTTACGTATTGTATGATTTATAATAATTTTAGAAGTGTTCACAGAAATGGTACATAATCTGTTTATAGTCACATAATTTATTGCTACTATCAATTTTTTAACTTTTATACATTTCAATTAACCTTGAAAAAATGCATAATATTTTAAGGTTATACATTACACACTTTTTGCTTTCGAATGCAAAAAATTAGATCTCGTCCTCGGTTAAAATATCAGTTGGCAAAAAAATTCTTGCGAAATTTTGAATGTCACGCGGGTCTTGGTGTCCTTTTTTTCCGATACAATCACTTCCACGGATTTCGTGCGCCACTCAAGGCAATCGAGATGTTTAAGTGCATTCACTTCGTTCGGTAAATGGTCACACGCGAACTCTCGACGTTACCATTTTTCGAACAATTAAAAAATATTAGGACACGCTGTAATATGTAATTACAATTTAATAAGACACGGGAAAAATATTTCACTTCAGCTTAGAATTGTATAGATTTCAAACGAATATCCTGAGAAACTTGTGGCTAAAAACGTTAAAATTACGCAAAATCTAAAACTTAAATTACCTTCTAATATCTATCAAAAGTAATTCACTCTTGTTCCGTTCAGCATAATTAACATCAGTGTAATGAAGCAGGACCGGTACGTTACGGTCATTTAATTGCATCGATTATACGTTTGAACAATGGCTGTGTATGCAATCAACGTGAAATTTGTACACGTGTATACTACTAGTTTAAATAAATTTACTCCAGAAGAAAAGGTCTAATCAGAACAGATCACTTTCGACTTCATTCATACATTCAAATTTATTCGACCGAACAGGTTATATAATTACATACTTCCTCCATTATTAAAACGTTTTTTAACTAGCATTGTAGAAACAAGTATGAATCGTCGATTAATGTCCGATTCAGGTTCTTGATCCTGGATGTTCGTAGTGAAGAAAGTTTTCAATAAATAACATTCAAAAACATTTACTTAATCAATCTACGTGCGTCTCATTGGTCCAAAGAATACAAATTCACCATAATATAAAGAAAATCCAACCTAGAAAACCTAACTCCGAAACTTTGAATGCTTTTCTTTCTTAATGGTTGTATCTCCAAATACTAACAACAATTAAAAATTTATGTTGTTAAGATAAAATTTTGTTAAATATTATAATAAATAACTATTCACTAGATGATATTATAGTGTGTTTGATTATTTCACTACTTTCCTCCTTCTACAATATTGAACTTCGTAAATTTTAAACTCAGGTTTCTCAGTTTAGAAACTAGTGGAGATAGAACAAATAAGAACTAGAGCGACGAAACGTCACAAAGATAGTAAAGAAAAAATAAACTGCTGGTCAATGTTGCATTCACAATCCTCCCTATTAATCTATTTCAGAATTTTCCAGGTTAGCCATCCCACTGCGATTCCCATTCAAATTAAACTTCACCGACTCCCATCATAACCGGTAAATTAATGCAAGGGGCACAACTTAAGATGCATTCGAACGCAACAATTCTCGTTACCTACTTCCATAATGCCGACGGTAACACGACGATTACTCGGATAAAGGGACCTGCATCGGCGTCCTCTATTGCGTGATTGCAATCAATATGCGTTTCGCAACCAGCGCTATGAAGTCATCCAACATCATCCTTCGAGAAACACCTGCGATATTACAGATGTACCCCGAACGATTAATTGAATGTAATTAGAGCAAAAACTTTGTGCCTTGCATAGAAAGCTCTATACCATGTAACGCCTAATGGCACGAGTACACAACTACCTGTTGTCTGTTCAACAAAATTTTGAAAATTCAAAAATGATTGAATGAAACTGGTTTCACTTACTTGACATTGAATTGCTGAATACAATGATAATTTCACTTTTGACTCTATACATAAGAATTGTTTTTACCTTAATTGTAAATATGGAGCTGTAAAAAACATGTAGTTTCTACTTTTGAAATTATTTTCATCCTACATTTGTATTTCATTTAAATTCATTATTATTTGTTAAATACGATAAAAATGAAGTCAGAAATGTTGTACTAGGTGAATAATTAAACAAATAAATCAAACCGAAGAGCACTAACTTTATATCTAAGAAGCAAGAATAATTTGTGTCACGTAAGGAAAAAACTAGAACCAACTTCGTGCCCAACAACCTTTAATTAACACAAAAAAAAACCCGGTTTAGTTTTATCACTTTGGGACCTGTTGAACAGTGTGATTTGAGGACCGAGTAAATTAGAGTTGCGTGATTCTTGTCTGAAATTGAGTACCAAGAACGACCCTGCAGGAAGGAGATGAAGATTTCTAATGGTCTAGCAGGTGATTATAACGTCGATCATGGAGAACGAGAAACTAAGCGTGATTTGTATTTCTCAGATCTTGTACAGGAAGTATATGGTCTGCGTATAACGAGTAAAGGATGATCGACTTTCCTTTGGTAAGTATTGATAACAGAAATAAAGAGATGAGCTATTATTGTGGGGTGAGTACTGATTACCAAGTCAGGAAGAGATTGGAGGAATAGATTCGTGAACAGAACATCCAGTGAAAACATCATGATCGATATGTATGAAGAGAGGTTCACAGATTTTTTTAACTTCGGTACTTATATAGGTAATTATTAACCGTTTGCGGTCCGTAATTATTTTCATAGTGTACTGCAGCAGGTCTGCACTTAAATCGAATTCGGAAACATAATATCGGAAAAATAAATTCGATATTGGGGAAAAATAAAATCGTTGTCTATTTGTGATCTGATTTTCTCCTATGTTGATCTATGATAAACATTAAAGTCTTTTTTATTCATTTCCTTAATTTTGTCAAGCTACAAAGAAATTGCAGTTTCTTCAGAATGAAAGCAAGAGAGGAGTCAGTCCATTGTGATTATTATATTGCGGTTATTTATACAAATAGAATTTTGTGGTCTAATTTGTTAAGATTGGAGTCAAATATACATTTGTTTAACTTATTAAGACTTCTGATAGGGTCGACAGAAACGGAAACCTCTGTGAATTTTATCCAAAAGTTAACACTAAAATAGCCAAATACTTGTTCATAAACTCTAACCAAAATTATTAAAATATAAGAGCAGTGTGTTCTCCGAGATTCTTTGAAATATTTATTACAATATTTAAGCGAATAAGTTCGTTAATTTATTGATCTGCATATTTTCAACAAGCTATCCCATTTACCAATGTGATAGAAATAGAAACACGTCGTCAATCATTCTAGTGTTAACTCTACTGAAGTTTAAAGAATTCTGTACACGGTAAATACATCAAATCCACAGTCTAGTGATTATAGTCAATTACGTTTCAACAAATATTCTAACAAGACTTTCACAAAGTCAGTTAAACTATGTATTTATCGTACCTGACAAAGTTGCAAAAGAATTCTAACTAGACGATGGTTCACAGGGTCTGCGATTCAGCACGAATAGATGAAAGCAAATGAATACATCCACCGATCAGTTATGGCAGACGGTAGTTAATGAACCAAACTAAGCAATATTCCATCGTTAAAGCAGGTAACCGATACTCATCCTAAATTATGGCTTTTCTTCTGTGTCCATCGACGATCGACCACGTTTAAATAGATTCATGATTTCGTCGGTCGATGTTCAATAACTACATTGGATCACGAAACGGGCTTGTTAATTGATTCGTTGAAGAAAGAAAGGCTATCGGAGGAATCATTTCACGATAAACCGTTATTGTTAACCGATCAGTGTGCACAGTGGAAAGATTTGTTGGAAGAATAAGATAAACTTTCATCTGCATACAGCAAATTTCTCGATCGTATCCGATATTTCTATGCGTTACCTTCTAGATAGCCTGAAGCGAAATTTCTCTAATTTCTCACATATTGCAACAATCTAGAGTATATAACGAAAAGATCTTGCTTACATCTGTCCTGAACCAATCAGTATGTAATTATTTTGTGTGCTCTTGATACTTTTCAATTCAGTTACATTCTAGTTCTCCCTTAATTAAATATTGTATACACACTTAGGACGTTGTCATAATGTCAGTTATGTGAAAGAAAAATTTATTCGATTATCTAAAATAACATAGAATTTATAAAGAATAAAGACTAAAGTAAGATTGTACAATGTAAGATTGTAATTTTTACAAGGGGGTCCTGATTAAATAATTACATTAAGGTTCACAAATGGTAAGTCATTTGGGCTTACCAAAGATGCAATTGTTTCAGAAGAAGAAGGAAACTTTCACGGTATAAGGACCAGAGTAGCGTCTCTGTCGATTATTTCCTTTACGAGTAGTTGAACATAATTTTCCAGACAGTAACGGTCACTATAATTTTCCACCATATTGTCAGTGTTACCAGGAACTTCTATTACCTGCACTCTTTCAATTACTATAACAAAGCGAGACGGTATTTCAAAATTATTATATTTACCTTAACATCAAAATTGGTTCCCATTATATGCATTTCATTTTTCAGAAGACAATTGAGATAATAGACATATAACAATAACTTTAAAAAGTCAATGCAATTATTTATTTAATTTTGATTTGAATAGTTTCTTATTTCCATCGTAAGTGATTTTATAATGTCGCCATTTTGGTAAATTCATATCTTTTGTTCCTTTGAACCTAGAAACCGAGTAGCATAACTTGCTATATTCAAAAGTAAAATTACGGTATCATTATCAAAGAGCAGTTGTGTAACAAAGTGATAATACCAACACCACTCGAAGCAAAACATTGTGACACATCGTATACCTGTCAGGTAACCACTTATACAATTATGACTTAATTTCCGCGTATCAGGCTCAGTTACTTTTATTGTCACAAAACCAATTTGAAGATCGAGAATCTCACTCTTCAGCAAGGAAATCATAATTTATAACCTGCATAAAATTATTAATAA